ACGACGACGACGACGACGACGACGACGACGACGATGATGACGACGACAACGACGACACCGACGACAACGACGACGAAGACGAAGACGAAGACGAAGACGAAGAGGACGAAGATGAAGACGAAGAAGACGAAGACGAAGACGACGAAGACGAAGACGACGAAGACGAAGACGATGACGACGACAACGATGTCATCGACTACGTGTGTTACGTCAATGACCTTATTTTATCGACGTGCCAAGCATCGAGGTCACGGTCTTGTTATACCGGAAGCAGGAAACCGAGAACGAGATGGAAGAAAGATGACGATCGGGATCGCGCGATCACCGAGGAATCCGTCAATTTCTCTGGAATTCGTATCGCGAATGTTACGAACGTTCCTTCGGTCGATGTATTTCCTTACACTGCCTACAATGACGAGGACGATGATATCGGAAGCTACCGTGATATCGGGGAGTCGTCGCGTGTCGTCGCGTCGTCCCGCGAGATCGGGAACGTTCGTGTTGGACAGGAAGAGTATCGAGAAGAGACGAAATTTTGTCGAGACGTTGGCAACCACGGGGACAAACTCCATGTGAGAAAAGTGGTGGACGATGGTATTTGTGACGACGGAGAACGTTTTCGTAAATTTCGAAGCCGTCGTAAGCGGAATGCCGATTCGGGACGCGATACGCGCGGAAAGGTTTGCGTCGCGAACGGAAACAGCGGGAGACGCGAGAGCCACTACACTGCCCGGTTCCAGAAGCCGATCATCCCCAACGGAAGCAGCGAGAACGAAACGAAACTCTCGAGGAACGGACCAACGACGACGAAGGTATCCAACAACTGGCGCGGCCGAAAGTACGGATTGCTGTTCATCTTGTATTTATTGGCTTGGCCGCTGGTGTGTTCGACGAATCTCTCCGGACAGTTCATCTCCGGTTTTACCCGTAATCCATCCCTCGGTCCAGTCGAAAACCTTCCGCGGCACAATGCCACGCAAATTTCCTCCTTGTTGTTGTCGTCGAGCGTCGCTCATCAACGTCAACAACATCAGCAGCGTCAACAACATCAGCAACATCAGCAGCAGCAGACAACAACAACAGCAGCAGCAACAACAACAACAACAACAACAACAACAACAACAACAGAAGCAACGTTATCGGCAACTGGAGGAAGAGCACGGTGTGCGAGAGCAATTGGTCCGGGACGCCGAGTACGCCAGTAACGGACATCACCGTCGCCGTCACGAAGAACAACAACAACAACAACAACAACTACTACAACAGCAGGAAGACCAAGGTCGCGAGCAACGAGAGGTGGAAGAATCGTCGTATCGAGATCGCGGCGAAGCCGTTTTCGAATCCGAATCGACACATCCTTACAACGAATATAGCTGGGAGATGAACCAAATAAATCCTTGGTTATCGGCCTGCGATCTGGCGGGCCCAGCGCCGGCCGATCTTCAGGGTAGCTGCGGTCCACCGGAAGTACCGAAATATTGTCCGGTCGCCTGTGTGGCAAGCTCGAAGGGAAACGGCGGTAATGGAAACGATGCCGAGTTCGTCGAGGTGATCGAAAAGGTCAGGGTCACCGGAAGGAATTGTTATTGGTCGACCGGTGGAAAGAAGGAGGCAACGACAAAGACAGCAGTGGCGGAATCGGAACGGTTCGACTCGAGTTCGATAAAGTCGTCCGGGACGGACGGCGGTGAGGTGGCGAGTGACAAAAAGGGAAGGACCGATCGAGAGAAAGCCGAGGGCGTACGGATGGATCCGGAACAGTGCCTTTTTTATCTCGAGGAGTCACATAAGAGGGACATCTGTCGGGATGATTTTGGCCGGACCAGTACGCGAAGTTTTTTAACCCCGAGGGAGAATCGATATTGGTTCATGAGCGGGTTGCGTCTGCGGCACTGCTGCGACCACGCGGTGGTCAACGCCCTGGCACCTGGCAAGGGTGGTCCGCTCGAGAATGTGCTAAACGGTGGCCAGAAGTGCGTCGATGCCCTGGACAAGCTGTTGCACGCCGATGTGTTAGCCGCAAGATTGCATTGTGAGTTCGAGGAAGTGCTCGCGCGATACGACTGTGCACAGCCCTATTCGGTCATCTTCAACTGCACCCACTGCAAGGTAACGGCTCTTCACGCTCTCTTCTCTTTCCTCTCTCTCTCTCTCTCTCTCTCTATTCTCTCCTCTTCTTCTCTCCGTTTGCTCCTTCTCTTCTTCTCTTCGTCTCTTCGTTTCCTCCCCCATCTCCGCTCTGTTATCGTC